ACTAACCGAAAGGGGAAAACAGAGTCTTTAAGTGTTTGAGTTTAAAATAAACTCAACTGTTCATTCTTTGTGGCCAAACCTTGGGGAATCTGCACCTGGGTTTGGATGTTCGGGAAGAACCACCAGGAGGACCAGAGAGGGTGAGAAGTGCTGTTTATTACAATACAAGGAGGCCTCAGCATTTGGTCGGTTGGAGCTGCAGGAAAAGATATATGGCCAAGAGCAGCCACTGTTTTATATGCCAGCAGAAGGGGAGAGGGATTGCCTCATCCCGGGGAGGAAGGGTCTTCCCTCTGCAGATGAGAACCAGACGTGCTGCCTCCCTAGTGTTCCGCAGGACCTCGAGCAGAGCAGGGAGATAATGTCCATGGGAACGGCCAAAGGGGCAGATCGTGCCCATGGGAGAAACGAGAAGTGTCCTTGGGGACAAGCACAGCCCAGGAGCGCTTTGTTCATTGTCCTCCTTGAGGCTGCTGACTCAGCAGGCTTCTTTGCCTCCCGTGTCCGGGAGAGGCTGTTTGAATTAATCCCACAGTCCTTCTCTAATAAACTTTGATTTTGTCTCTAACTCTGGCGTGTACTTTCTTTCCTGCGCGCAGTCAAGGACCCGCCCCTTTTCTCCTGGTGCGGGACTTGAGTGCCCACTTGGGGTGATTTGCCTTGTCCTGCACCATTAAGACCCAAGTCTCCTCACAGTTTGGAGTTTCAGAAGTCTTCAAAACTTAGTCAAAACAGAAAGGGAATATAGAGTTCTTTTTATTGTTTTGTTTTCATGGAACATTGCTTTCCTCACTAAATTTAATTACGAACGTGTAAATAACACTTCGTCTTGAGTTTAAAAACATATTCTGACCAAGACTTTCTTAATAGTTACAACTAGCTTGGATTTTTCATGATGTCTCCTACATACACACACACACACACACACACACACACATATATATGTGTGTGTGTGTGTATATATGTATGTATATATATATAAAATTCTACTGCTTGCAAAATGAGACAAGATTAGCTTGGACATTTTCAAATATTTCTAGTTTTATATCCTTGAGAGAAGAACAAATTCTGCCATCTATTAGTTAATATATCAAAGAATTCGAGATTGGGAAGCTGCTGCTCTGTGATCCCAGGTGGGCTTATCCAGTTTCTTCCCTGAAGGAACCAGGACAGGACACATTCGATGATTACTCATCTAAGGGTATTCTTAAGATATTCTTCCTAGTGTTCACTTTTCAATCCTCTTCATCGAGAAAACAATTATAAATGTATGTGCTTAACAGAGCTTGAAAATACTTGAAGCAAAACTTGAGAGAACTAAACAGAAGATAGACACAACTCTTTCAGTCATTACTAGATTTTTAAAAATCAGTAAGGATAAAGAACATCTGAGCGACAGTATCAAGCATGTTCACCTAACACTGACAGAATACTTTTACAACTGTAGGAGCAAGAGAAAGGAGTAGGGGACCGAGAGCGGCCAAGCACTAGCGACCTTTCTGAGTGTCTAGGTCCTGCTCCAGGTTTTGATTCGGTTTGGGGATATTTTTATAGCGTACTTGATTTATATCCACATCCTACTTGGGTATCTATATATTGAGCACCCGCTGTGTGCCCAGGACATATATCGGGTGCCTGCTGGAGCCAAGACGTCTTCCCAAACCCTGCTGGGGCTTCCTCAGCGGCAAACGACCCACGGCCCCGAGCAGGCTGAGCACCCCGCGACCAGCCCGTGGCGACCTTGCGTCCAGCCCAGGCACCGGGCCGCGCGTGCGCAGTCGGGGCAGCCTTGGGGACGGGGCTGGGGCGCGCCCCGCGCGGACTACATTTCCCACAGGC